AACCTAGTAGCACTGTCCTCCAACCTAGAGCGATGGCCTCCAACCTAAGAGCGATGGCCTCCAACCTAGAGCGATGACCTCCAACGTAGTAGCAATGACCTGGCCTCCAACCAGCTCCATCCTAATAGCAATGGTCTCCAACCCAAGAGTGGCGACTTTCATCCCAATAGCGCTGGACTAAAGTGATTCAAGCATTTCTTCCGCTGATTCTGTGCTGATGTTCCCCAAACACTGCCAACGCAATTGTCTACGCCAGTCCACGGATCCGGAGAAGATTTATTCTTCGAAAGGCTGCTGGCAAAAAATTGCGCGCAGCGCTTACTTCAAAGGCCTCACCTTGTTCATGGCGCCCTGGAATTGCATATGCATTTGAACAAAGAGGACGCTTCTACTGAGCAAAACCGATTGGAAACGGTGGATGGACCCGGACCCGTGCTATAGATGCTAAATGAAAGGACAAACATGGACAAACTATGACAAACTACAGTGTTTTCCTCACATTCTTGTACGCTGTGCACTATGTGCACTGCGCACCGCACCTTTGGATTGAAATCACTGATGGTGACTGCACGACCACCACTAATTGCGGTGAAGCAACCACTCGGGAGTTGGCTTTGGGGTCCACGATGGCCAAGATTCAAGACCTGTGAGTCTTGATGAGCACAGGTCTTGATGAGCACAGCATGGATCGCAGTCGATACCGACTACAACAACTCAGATTGCGAGCACCGCTATATTTTTGTGACAGTGGACAACATCATTTGTGCCACCAAGCAGCAAAGAGCAAGTAGCAAAGTGTTCAGTGCGAAGTTTATGGCCTGTGTTTGAGGAATTTTGGCATTGACCTCTCTCTCCAATATAAGGTATATTTTTGCATTGAGATCACGGTGCGCTGGCTTGCCTGCCATGTCTGTTCTCAAGCATTACAAGATTGGTCATTCCTTTTCGACCTTTTCTTGGCAGCATCTTGGATGAGCATCACATGAGCATCAAACACAACACGTCCTGTACTATCCTGTACTATGGCCACTTGATTCAGGATTCGAACTACTGTATCGATCCTTCCATCCATCGATCTATCTATATATGTATGTTATCTTATTTTAGAAATCTATTTGGCTTACCTAATCTAATCTAACCTAATCGTATTCTAATCTTATCTAATCTGATCTAATCCTATCTATTTGTATATCTATCTATCTAAATCTATGTATATAAATTAAATCTATTTGCCCCGCTTTCTTCGGACTTCCGTCGAGCGACTCAAACTCAAAATAAACATTATATCTATCTATCTATCTATTTATCTAATCTAATCTAATCTAAGTTATTCTAATCTAATCTCTCTAACCTATCTACCCAATCCAATCCAATCCAACCCCCATCCCATCTCATCTAGTCTCATCTATAATCTATCCTAATCTATATCATTTTGCACCTAAGTTTTCCTAAGAGTTTAGATGCGAGGTGACGCCTCTCCAAACAAAGGAAGACACTCTTTTCTTCGAATGCATTTTCTTCGATCAGCTGAGGTGACCATGTCTATCGAGACATGGGGCCCTCAAATTGTTTATTGGGTGACTGGCCGCAGCACTCAGTCAGGTTTGGGCATGGGCTCTGCCCTGAGAAGCTTGAGGCTGAAACTTATTTGCAAGAAATGGACGAAAAGACATGGCTGGGTGAGCTGTTCAGGTCTAACATTCCGCACAGTTTCATGGTTTCACCTGGCTTCATTCACCACAGGGATGTTGGTGGTAAAGCTTCTCACTGCCACAGGTCCTGAACGTGCCAAGGATCCGAATTACACGGGCCTTCCGAATGTCACGACTGTTCCGTTCAGTCCCTGAACTCATGATTTTAGTGCACGGTATGTTCCAGGCGCCGGGGTTCTTTCTTTTGAGCAAGTTTGGTTTCTTTGAGAATTGCGAAGTAGCTCGACTACAGTCGCACATGAGTCATGAAACATCCCGAGTTCATTCCCTCCGTCCTGCCCTGAGGGTGTGAGATCCGTGTGTACTACTCTGATCCTCTTGCTTTTGGTGACATATACCTTTGCGGTGGCCATGACTCAGCTTCTGCAGAACAAAGACGTCGGAAAGGGGAAGTTTGATGATGTAGCAACGGCCACAAACTTCCACAAACTTCCTACTGATGCAAACCCTGTGTGGAAGCTTGTCAGCCAGTACTAGCATGCCGAAGGCTGTTGACAATAGAGATTGTTGCGGATCCCATGCGCCCTGCTAAGGATTCAATGCTGGCTTTATGACAACTATGCTCAATACAGATGTGGTGTCATTCATCATCCTGCTGACGTACCAACTATTAGGCCTGGCACTTTGGGTGTGGAAGAGTCAGAATTTCTTCCTCAATGACTGGCAGATACTGGCAGGTTCGCTGACTCTCATGAACCTCGGCGAGAGAGAGAGAGAGAGAGAGAGAGAAAGAGAGAGAGAGAGAGAGGGCGCCAGAGTGGCCGTCGGAGAGCTTATGCACAAGATCATTTAAGACTGCACTATAGCCATATGTACAAATGTAAAGGATCACTATATCATATCAGACAAAGAAACATACACACACACACTTATATACACATGAACATCACGTACTTGTATCGGTTGACCGCGTTGAACATATCTCAGGAACATGCTGACTGGTGTGATGGTGGATGTGGTTGGAACCACTGCTCAACTTGAGCAGGAGGAGCAGAGCCTTAAAACTCTCAAAAGAGATATTGCCGATGTAGCCACTGGGAAGAGATAGCCTTAGGCAGGCAGGGTTGCCACTTTCGGTGCCACGTGGTGCCAAAATGTTTGGTGTCGCAGATCGTGACCTGGGTATCCTGGGTGGTGTTCGTCTCGAATCTCTCCGGTCCACACCTCCATCCCTACCCTAGTTCTGTGCTTGTGATTCTTTCGTTATCCGTTTTTCGTGAGCCTTACGAAGGGCCGGTTAGTTGATAAGGTGAACCTTACAGATGAGAATCACGACCGCACCGTGACTGCCGTGGAGTTCACACATATGACGCTTGGTCTCACAAGAGATGGAATCGAGTTTGTGGACCAGATGTGAATCAAAGTGGTGATCAAGTCATAAAGGATTTTGAAGGCCTCAAGCATTTGCAGAGATCCTGCAACCCTGAGGATCCAGAACCCTGTGGCGGTCAAGAAGTTGCTAGCTCTCCCAGTTGTGAATGCTGAGCACAAAGATGTGCTGCTTGGCTCTGCTTGGCCTCCGATATCACCGAGGTATGAAGGTGGTGTGAACGTGCTGGCACTGGTGGACTATGCTCCTTTGCTCGCCTTTTCTGAATTGAGCTGCTTCAATCCTTTGATATCCTTTGCGCGCTGGTATGTGACTGTCATGTGAACCCTCCTGGAAGTGACATTTCAAGACACCATGTTTTCCTGACATTTCTTCAAGTTTAACAGCGAATTCTGGTCTTTGGTTGATTGTGTTGCTCATCATCGGTAGGATCAAGCCAAGGCAGACTTTGTTTTCCGTGACACCTCTGAGCTATCCTTGGAAGAATTCATAGAGACGGTGTTGCAGTTCCGTGGTCAGAGCCCAGCTACAGTCAAGGCGTGGTTCAGTGCTGAAAGCTTTATGCAGGGTTCGGGTGGTCATCAGGTGCTTTGGAAGGGAAATCTGAGTTCAGGCATCTTGCGATTCGTGATATAGACTAATAGTGACATATAGACTAATAGACATGTTCTGCGAACCGCAAATGATCACAAAGCTGGCCGCTTCAATTCAGACGTGTCAATGGTTTCCAACGAAGCTGGGCAAATGCCATGCCATGATCCTGCCTTTTTGCACAGGATGTGGTTGATCTTCGGGTCTTTGTGTCCAAGGACAAAGCACAATGCCATAGACCTGGTACCGTCCAAGAAAATTTGAGCAGGTTCACTTATAGTATGACTTTGTGTTACCTAAGTAGGCCGCCATGGTCTGTGTGTGTGTGTATGTGTGCGCGAAGACAATGCCGGCACAGAGTGGATCAAGGAGCTGGCCAGATTGGAAAAGGATGTCGCCACTGTAAAGCATTGAGGGAAAAGAAGCTGGTCGTGCCGCGGCCTTCAGTGAAGGCTTGAAGCCGTAGAATACCATGATGGTTTAATTTGTTGAAACAGGGACGCGCTTTGTCTTGAGACAAGTGCTGCAAATTTTCAAGGCCTTTCTGGTTGGCAGGCAGTTGTCGCATAGCGGGGCCCGCCCGTGGGTGAAAAATAGTTCAAAATAGTGGAATAGCGAAGCATGTGAACAACCTGGACAGATAGACTGACGAGACATCGGCACGTATTGGATTCTTTCTGACAATCACTGAGGTCCAACAGATGTTTCCCTGAAGAATTGCGCTTATTGGCCCGATCTTGAATTATATAGTGATGAGCGGAGACCCACTGGGCATTTTGGAATTCCCCTAGTGGCTTAACCGCCAGAGGTATGTGTCTGAGTGGAGTAAGACGCCATTATATAGATGACAGCATGCAGGCTGCGATTTCAATACCAACTGTGCCATCCTGAGAAAAATAACTTACAAATGCGAATATAAGGCAGGCGGTTGGTTTCATGTCAGGCGGGTCCATGGATTCTGTTCAGGTTAAGGTGGATTAGGCACTTGTGCGACTTGAGCGGGACAGCCCTCGCTAGACCCTGCCACCACACCAGCTCCGAGGGCACTGGACCTGTGACGATATGATCATTGCTATTTGAGGTTGGTCCTAAGGAACCTATATAATAGCACAAGGAACTCTATGCTGATTCGGAACCAACCTCATGTGCTCTTGCTTCAGCACAGCCCTCAGCTTGCTCTCCTGGGCGGCTAACGCATGCCAGCTGGCAGTCCAAAGTGGACGAAAACAAGAGCGCTAGATTCGTAAGCCTTATTGCATCAATGAAATTGTGCGAAGTTGAAGCGCAAAAAACATGGTTTTCGGAGACATGTTCCATTTGGAGGATGTAGCTAGGAAAGCACTCCAGATCACTTCCACTGCTTGAATGCAAGGCACCTGGCCCAAAAACAACTACTGACAATTGCAACATAGTTCATATGTATATATATATATATGTATATTACAGCATATAACTTCTAACTGGCATAGTAAGGCTCACTGATATGCAACAGACTTTTCCCAATGTCAAGGCTCAGAATCTTCCGGAAGACTAACACCAACGGTGAACTCAGCTGGTCTTGTTTATGCGGGCTGCAGATTGCCGTAGAGCTCGTGGAAGATTGGCAACGCATACTGAATTTCACTGATCCCCTTTGCATATCTCAGATCGGGAGACCTGTGCCATGGGCACCCAACTCCGTAGCTTTCGAAGCTTATTGCGGCTTTGTCGAGAATGTGATCAACAGCCAGCACGTTTGCTGGGACTCTTGGGGCGGCCGCCGCGGCAGTACGACTGGAACTTCAATCGGGCGGGCTTGATGACTTGAGACCGAAAGTATACTAATTACTTTTAATTGTTTCCAACAGCGAACCTTGTTACTACTAGTAAGGCACTTGTTACTAGAAGCGATGCACTTGTTCCTAGTAGCTTCTTGTTTTTAATAGCTTCTTGTTACTACTAGTAAGGCACTTGTTACTAGAAGCGATGCGCTTGTTCTTAGTAGCTTCTTGTTTCTAATAGCGAACCTTGTTACTACTAGTAAGGCACCTGTTACTAGAAGCGATGCACTTGTTCCTAGTAGCTTATTGTTTCTAATAGCTTCTTGTTACTACTAGTAAGTCACTTGTTACTAGAAGCGATGCACTTGTTGCTAGTAGCTTCTTGTTTCTAATGGCTTCTTGTTACTACTAGTAAGGCACTTGTTACTAGAAGCGATGCACTTGTTACTAGTAGCTTCTTGTTGCTAATAGCTTCGTGTTACTACTAGTAAGGCACTTGTTACTAGAAGCGATGCACTTGTTACTAGTAGCTTTTTGTTTCTAATAGCTTCTTGTTACTACTAGTAAGGCACTTGTTACTAGAAGCGATGCACTTGTTACTAGTATCTTCTTGTTTCTGATAGCTTCTTGTTACTACTCGTAAGGCACTTGTTACTAGAAGAGATGCACTTGTTACTAGTAGCTTACTAATTAGTATAGTCGAGGTTTTTTGTGCATGATAGATAGAAGAAGAAACGGCCTGAATGGGGAACATGTTGTCACCGCAGTACACACATGTACTCACTGTACTTTTTGCGAGCAAGCAAGCTGATGGCTGGAGCTCCTAGAGCCCCTACTCACTCTGGTCTTTTAACCCGCAGGCGAGGATGGGATTAAACTGATTGAAACTTCAGATTTGGTTCCCTGCCAGCCAGGCGGTTCGGACACGCTTCAGCGGATCCCCCTTTGCGGAGGATATGGTTTGGGAGGCAAGACGTTTGGAGCCGAAAGATGTAAGTAAAGAGCGCAGGGAGGTTCTGGAGAGATTCGGAACCTGGTGGTAGATTTTGCTTTTTTCTTGAGAATCCACATTCTGGTTGGCACTGCTGGCGGGTAACTATATGTGTAACCTACTTTGTTAGATTTGACTCCTGCATCCCTGGGTGCACTTAGAGTTCAAGGCATAAGCTGTTTTCCAGAGTCTTCCAGAGGCCTTGGGCTTCTCGACGCAGTTTGCGATGCCTCGTCCTGGCGGAGCTGCCAGAGCATGCCGAGCCATGTCACAAATGTTGCCTTCCAAACTGCCTGGCATACGATTGAAAACAAATGAAAACAACAGGTTTTACAGTTTCACTGCCCTGGCTTCTCTCGAGTTGCTGGGCCATGCTAGGCTGCTCTACAGCTACAGTCCACGAGTCCTGCTTTGCGTACTTAGCTGCTGGTGCTGTTTCCACCGCTGTGAATGTCCATCCAACCAGCTGACCCAATGGTTCCCTAGCTCAGGACGGCATTTTCGGAGGGCACAAGCCTTGGGCATGGGCGAACTATATCCTGCGGAGGCATCAGAGCTCTTCAAGCGGATTGCCGCGAGCAAGAGCCTTGTGTCTAACTTGGGGCCAGAAGTGGCACATGATCATCCGCGCCTTCTGAAGAGCCACCTGGAGCATTATTCTCGGCCTCATGTTTGGTCGCCATTGCACCTCCCAAATGGCCGAATGCACTGGGACAAGCCCATACAGACATTACATATATATAATATAATGTAATCCACCACACAGGAGTTTGGACTCAGAAACTGCTAGCTAGGAAAACGCCAGCTCCAGTTCTGTGGTAGGAACGGTGAGTAGGATGAGGGGATTCAGCGAAATATCTTCATATATAGAGTTGGCGAATTGTTGGCGAGCTCCGTGCCTTTTGGACGAATGTAGTTTGAGAGTTGTAGATTGATTGCAAGCTCCCAAGGTTTCGACACTGGAAGCCACCTGCAGGTTTCTCAAGGTGACCTCCTCCTGACTCACCCCATTGCTTGCCTGAAAAATACCCACTTCGACCAGGCCGTGATACTTCTGCATGAGGTGTCCAGCAGTCCAAGCAATCCAGATGCACAGGTGAAAGGTCTAGTTGTGAATAAGCCAATGCCGAATATTCCCCTCAAGCAGCTCTTGGCCCGTGCAACGTCTCCTGAAGACAAAGAGTGGGCTGGAATGGTTCAATCCGATTGCAAGCTGGACGGGCTTTCTGTCTTTCGGGGTGGTCCCATTATTGTTGGCAACTCGATTCGGCACAATCTGCACTGGCTGCATGGCTTCTTTGAGGTTCCTGGTGCTAAGCAAGTTGCTCCAGGCCTGTGGCTAGGAGGAGATTGTCGAGAAATACTGGAAAAAGGCATGCAGGGTGATGAAGTGCAAAGTCACTCCATTCCCTTACGTGTTTGCTTTGGATACTCTGCATGGACTGAGCTTCAATTGCGACTGGAGCTCGAGAGCGGTGTTTGGACCCGGGCACAAGCTCTTGATGACCGACCCAGAGACGGTGCTCTCTCCATCATTGCTTCCAGCTGCTTCGGGACAGAAGGCAAAACTGCTTGGCAACAGGGCCTTCACTCAGCGGGTTGGTCCTTCATGGCCAACTTCCCCCGTAACGCGGAAGTGGACGAGAAGCTGGAGCGGCACACGAAACAGCAGGAGTCCCAAGCTCAACTCCAGGCACAAACTCCAAAACCGTAGGACCATGAGAGACGTTACGGCCCATGTTTGGGCCCAAAGGGCCCCTACCAGGCATAGCCGGCATAGCGACATAGCAGAGCCATAGCCGGCGAGAGTTTCGCCCATTTCAGGAGGTCCAGCTCTTTGGGAAGGCAGGCTCTAACAGCTCGTGTGAAAAATGGACTTTGCTGCAACACATTGGGAATCATGGCCACATGAGAATGCGATCTGTGCAAATGTTAACGTTCTTTTGGTTTTACTTCTTCCCAGGGCTTCAGCTATTTTCATCAGATGGGGGCTGCTGGGAGTGACTTGCCATCGCCAGTAGCGCAACATCATGCATGAAGCAAAATGGTTGCAACGTCTACAAGCAAAAGAAAGGTCAAAGGGACATCAAACATTTACAGACCAACTCGCGAACCAGTTATCCGAGCCGTGAACTCAGTGGCATCAGTCCTCCAAGGCAAGAGGGCACACGATCCACACGTGCCAGGAAGCATGTGTGCATTCCTTTCGCTAAGGCATCGCAAAATGGAGAGAGAGCCAGCTGTCGTTGTGGTGCGGCACAAGACGCAACGCCATACTTATTCTATCCTATTTTATCTTATTCTAAAGTTAAGTTATATACCCTTAAAACATCATGCGAGGGCATTGTTGGCGTCCAAGCCTAGTAGCGGCCTACTGAATACTTACTATACTTACACCTCTTATTACTAGCTATAGCCAGCCATCCTCTTCGCGGCCGATGTGTCCATATATGTTTCAAGATGTTTTCATAAATCAAGTGCATCGCTACTATTAACAAGTGCATCGCTATTAACAACAAGGGCATTACTACTAGTAGCTAGAAGCTACTAGGTTTGAGGCCATCGCTAGTAGGTTGGAGGCCATTGCTACTAGTAGCTAAAGGCTACTAGTATCAAGGGCATCGCTATTAGTAACGAAGGCACTACATTTCAAGGTCGGAGGTGCCGGCCTTGTCGGACGGTACCTGGTGCGACGCTGGAAGCGAAAGCTGGAGGCACCGCCACCGACCGCCGTTGGGGTTCTGCCTTGTCGGCCCGGGGTAGTCATGCAGAGGCCCGTTAATGCCTGGATATGGATTAGACTGGAATGAAACTGGTTAAGCTGGTTAAGCTTTCCTGGTTCAGTCTGACTGAAGCTGCAGCACAATTGCGTATCTATGGCAGCTGTATGCATAACATTGTATCTTTATGATGGCATATGTTGATTCCGTGCTCTTCCATTTGAGGATGCAAAGGCCTCGTCTGCCTTCAATTCCTCTTGAATTTGGATGTGCGACGCCAGTCGAGTGTGATTATAGCAAATCGGCTCGAAGGGTACGAGACTGCCTTGACGCGGATCCTGCCATGGACGGAAGGCACAGTGCTGGCAGTCAGGGCTCTCCCAGGGACTCGCATTTTGCACCCAATGATTGGGTGTGGTCTCCTGATGCCAGCTGTGGCTATTTGGCTGAAGACGTTTTTTTGTTGTTGACATGTGATGCACTAAATGGTCCATGGATGGGTCAAAGAGACAGAGCAACATGCACTGCGCATAGCACACAACACGTGAGGCTACCGCCGATCAAGGGTCGTCAGCGTGGATGCCTCTCGGATCAAGCATGATTCGGCCTTGTTTGGGGGTAACACTTTTGCTAATCTGCTAATTGCTCATTGGGGCATGCGCAAGTGCAAGTGCTGCCTGGGTCGATTGGGGGTTTATTTCCAGGCGTGCTGCAATTAACTATCATGCTTGTTGGAGCTGGTTCAGTGAGGTCCGGCCAAGGTGTTTCAATCCAATAAATTACCTGGAGTCAGGCAACACCCAGTGAGATGTTAAATTTGTCCTCGTTTGATGACTTTGATGGCTCTTCGCAAATATATACACATGCTACCAATTACAATCAAAGAAAGAAAGTTGAGTTTCCCATAAACATCTAGACATCCCATCATTACATAAGGCTCAGGCTTCCTCAAAGAAGCTTTGAAGAAGCCTGAGAATTAGCCTGCGCCCTGGTGCGTAAGAAGCTACTTGTTCGCTTAGTAGCAATACTAGTAACTACTCCTTACTGCTACTTGTAAGCTACCCCACCTCTTTCCTGCCTATGCCCTCCGGACCCAATTGACCCAATTGATCACCATTTGACTCTGACAAAGCGTGGCATGGCCGATCCCCTTTGGACAAAGGATGGCCGTGATTCGCTCTATGTGGACGACACGCGTGGAGGAGCGGCGCACGAGGTCCGGAAGAGCGAGCTGCGACCCTTCTACGACGTGGGGGAGACGCGGACCTTCCAGGATAACACAGAGATGGTGCACTTGGACGATGCCAACATTTTGGACAATTTGCGCGACTGGCTTAGAGAAATACCAAAAAAACAAAACGATAGAGGGAAAGAAACAGAGAGAAAAGCAAAGACAAGCGAGTGGGAGAGCGTGAAAACGAGATCTAGATGCAGTTGTGGATGGGATGAGGCAAGAGGTATGCCAAAGACGAGATCTACACCTACACTGCCAATGTCTTGCTTGCTGTGAACCCCTACAAGCCCCTCCCCCATTTGTACACCAAGGAGGCTCGGCGGATCAAAGCTGTTTGTTCTTTCAGGGTTGACCCGTCCCACTTAGCGCCACGCAGGCCATGGACAAGTATTGGGGCAAGAATCCTGGGACCTTGCCACCTCATCCCTATGCAATCTCAGATGTCGCCTACCGGCAGATGCAGAGAGATAAAAGAAACCAAGCTTTGGTGATCAGCGGAGAGAGTGGAGCAGGGAAAACGGAGACCGCAAAGTTCACCATGAAATATTTGACAACAAAATCCAGGACTGATGTCGCTCAAGGAAGCCGCATTCAAGAAAAGATTGTCATGGCAAATCCGATCTTGGAGTCCTTTGGCAATGCGACCACTGTGATGAATCTCAATTCCTCCCGCTTTGGGAAGTACAATGAGATGATGTTCAATCCTGTAGGCTCTTTGGTCGGTGCAGGGATCAAAACCTTCCTACTGGAGAGTTCCCGTGTTGTTGGCCAGCAGAAGGGTGAGAAGAACTATCACGTCTTCTACGAACTCCTGTCTGGTATGGATGAGGATGCTCTTTCAGAATTGTGTCTGGAACGAGATCGGAGCTACAAGTTGATTCACTCGAATGGGCCTCAACCAGCTGAGGAATCTGCAGATGCACGGCGGCTAGCCAAACAGTTTCAAGAACTCAAGGAGGCCTTGAGCCTTTTCCTTGACGAAGAACCTCAGAACAATATTTGGCAAGTGCTTGGTGCCTTGATCCACCTTGGTGAGGTGGACTTTGTCGAGCTTGAAGCCGAGGAAGAAAAGGATACATTTTTGCAACCACCAGAGCCTTCTCCAAGCCACTGCGCCTCACCGAGCGCCAGTTCAGCTGCTGCCTCGGACCTTACATCCATCTCTCGATCCCTTCCCACCACGCAATCCGCCCATGTGGAGATTCATCCAGACACTGAAGACTCACTGGAGATGGCATGCGGTTTGTTGGGATTAGGTGCCAAGGCAGTTCGCAAAATCTTGAAGTTCAAGGAGATGCGCGTGAACCGTCAGGGGAGAATCTCAGAGATCAGATGTCCTCGCACTTTGGCTCAAGCACGGCAAACCTTGCATTGCATCATCAAGATCCTCTACAAGCGCCTCTTTGACAAGATCGTGGCCAGCATCAATCACGTGTCCAACGCCGGTGCAAAGTATCAGGAGAACAATTACCACAACATTGGAACTCTCGACATTTATGGGTTTGAGCGTTTGGAGTCCAACAGCTTCGAACAACTTTGCATCAATTTGGCCAACGAGCGCCTGCAGCAGTTCTTCGTGGAGGAAGTCTTGGAAGCGGAGCAGCGGATGTATGCAGAGGCGGGCGCAGGTCTATGTAGTCCTGAAACAATCTGAAACACGATGAAACACCTGTTTCCTTCACCTCAGAATGCCCGTCCCTCCTTTGACCTTGTCCTTCAACTTATATACTGTAGTTCGTATGAAAAAATGATGTGTTGCAAAATGGGTTTTACTGCTGAACCTTTAAAGATTTTAAGTCAAGTCATTTGTCATTATTGTTTTAAACATAGCGCTGGCACAAGAAAACATGTGGAGAAAAGTCAAAATGCATCCAAAGATATATGATATTCCTTTATATATTTGTTGTTTGCAGGAGAGGTTGAATGTCCAGATGATGGAATTGCCCGACTCCGCGCCCGTGGTCTCTGGGATCCACTCAGTGCTGAAGCTCCTGGATGAACACAGCTTACGTGCTGTGAAGAACTTGGTTCGCGAGGGAGGTGCTAAGGACTCCAAATTTTGCGAACAAGTCCCGCAGCTGAAAAGTTAAGTGGATCTTTAGTGTTCTTGACGCTTTCACGCATGTTCACAGTATCCCGTCATTCTCCCATTTTGTTTTTCTGCTTGGTCCAATGAGCCTTACGCCCCGGAAGATTAACATGGAACCTGGGAAATGGACGTTTGGAAGTCAGGTTCCATGTTAATCTTCCAGAGTGTAAATTTTATCAATTTCTAAAGCCAGCAGTGCATCAATGGTTTTAGTTTGTTTTAGCTTTTGGTTAAGAGTCCGAGCTAAGGTCTACAGAGAGCTGATCGATACAAAAGGACAACGGGCTATCATGGCCTTGAAGCTAAAAGCCAGTCGCACCGACCGTGGGCCCAGTTTGCATGATGGTTTCCAGATTGCACACTACGCAGGCGCGCGCTACTGATTTAAGGATAATCAGAGATGTAAAGGTATTGAGTTGGTAAACATGCGCACGCGGATCTTTGTTCAAATGAAAGGGTTTGTGTATTGTTTGGCAACCGGTCACAGGTGCAGTATCTTACAGCACCAAGGGCTGGATTGACAAGAACAACGATTCGCTGGTGCCTGAGATTGAACAAGTGCTCAATGATGCAGAAATTCCTTTGATCCAAGAAATGGCTGATTTGAGCCGTGCTGCTTCTGGTGAACGCTTGTGCTCTGTGAGCAGCATGTATCTGAGCAATCTCACCGATTTGTTGGCGACCTTGAAGAAGTGCTCAGTCCACTACATCCGCTGCTTCAACCCCAATCAGGAGCGAAAGGCTGGAGTCTTCAACGCCAAGTATGTGCTGGACCAAGTGATCCAGTGTGGTACGGTCGAATTGGTCAACATCATGCACCATGGCTACCCTCATCGATGCATCTTGAAAGATCTCCGTGGTCGTTTCCAGAAGCTCTTGCCACCAGAGTTCGCGCACTACTCTGACAGGGACTTTATGCATGCGGTGGCTTTGCCTGGAGAGCAGTGACAGCTTGGGTTTTGATGAAGTCCTTCAGGGAGGTCCCTTCTAGTCAGATGACATAACTCATTATCTAGAAGCGATAATTCATCATGGCAGGTCCGTGTGACACGCGGCAAGTGCATCCTATTGTTTCCATGTTTCACTCAAACTGGCAGGCAATTCCTTGCCCGAGACTAGTGGAATCCCAACCAAATCCAACACCTCAAGTTATACAGTAGATGATGGTGTTGTCCTTCCGTGGTCTACAGGTCTACGAACCCAACACCCACTTTCGATCTCCTGCACTCAGGTGATGTTGGCCTGGGAGATCGATGATCATCAGTGGACCCTGGGCACCAGTCGTTTGTTTCTGAAAGCCGGGCAGCTTCGCGCCTTGGAGGAGCTCCGGGACATTGGTGGCCAGGCCTCCCAAGGGGTCATCAAGAAGATCCGACGACAGTCACTGGGCACATTTGAGTGTTAGACATGCGATAAAGGTGCTCGGGTTCTCAAGTCACTTCTGCACCATTTGCGACAACAGACAGTGAAGACCACATACCATTTCCACGTACAGCTCCCCATTGGCTTCACGTAGAGTTCTCCAAAGAGGCTATGAAAAAAGTTTAAGTTTGATGTTGTTTGATGCCTAGGTTTGCAATGAAGAAAGCGCGGGCATATGCACATGCCATCGAGTTTGTGAAGTACTTACAGATGGTCACCCTTGAAGGCAAACGAGAACGGACCTATGCTGGATTGCGCAGGGCCATCCGCTTCATGGTGCGAATCAATCGCTGGAAGAATCGAGCTTTGAAGCGCGTGGCTCCAACGGCCGAAGTGATTTTCACCCGAAAACTGGGAGTTCCCTTCGAGACCATGACGTTGAGTTTGAGTGCTTCCCTTTTGCCAGAGATGTTCGTGACCATGGGGGCTCAAGACATGCCCTTGATCCATTCACGTTCAAAGGTGCCAAAGGACATGACATCTGCAGAGTATGACATGCAGTGGCAGGCCGAGGCAAAGGAGAGCATTCTTTACTTCAACGAAGGGGTGCTGAAGTGTGCCAAGTTGATTGGAGGCAGGCGGTTTTTGTGCTCTGGGTATGGTCTTTGCTCGACGCATTTGGAGCGATGTTTGTTTTTTGATCGTTTCAACAGTCTTACGGCATGTTTTCTTTTTTTGTTGTTGCCTTTGTCCAACCACATGATCACATGCCATCAAGCTTGTGTTCGTCGCAAACAGGTGCCTTTGCAAAAGGCGCTCGCGGAAGCTCTGGAGCCATTGGCGATGTTCGGCTGGTGGATTGCTGCAAAACTGGCCGTGCATTCCCTGTTTCATCAAGCCCAGAGTTGGACAAGATCACGTGCATTTGCCAGAATCCTGAGAACAGTCACCTGAGTTTGCAAAACCTTGGTTGAATGTGTTTGCGCACTGCTTTGTTGATTGTTGTTTGCTGTTTCGATTCGCCGCCTCAGCTCACATGCCACATGCCGAGAGTTCACCTGACCTGCCAGTCGCTGCAGGTCAGGTGTTTGCCCACTGCGAGCGCTCCAACACGATCTTGGTTTGGCACTGGAGGGGAACAAGCTCCAATGTCGACGAGCCTGCCGTGGCTGTGTCCCACAATTTCAAGCTTCCGTCGCTGTGGCAGGTTTTCCGGATGTGCTTTCTTCCAAAGCCAGCCTCCAAGCAGGGAGAGCATGTCATCGCCTTCTTGGGCCGAATGCATGACTCCAACTGGCTGGCAGTGAGTGTCTACACCGTGTGGAGGGGACCCAAAGGCACATGTGTGAAGCTAAATCTCATCAAGCAGGTTTACCCAGATCTGTTTGACGAGGCTTTGCAGATGGAGGGAGCTGTCATCTCACACTTCGAGCTATCCCATTCCGGAAGAACACTGATCCTTGCAGGTGACCGGCTTTTGCGGTTGTATTCTGTCTCGTTTACATCCTCAGGAGTGGAGCTTGAAGATCTTGACCCTGCACAAGACTGTGAAGCTCACATCTTGAATCGAGACCCTCATGGTACGGTGACCGCAGTTTGCCCTTTGCCTATGGAACCTGGATCTCGTGAAGGCTTTGTGGACTGGATTTGGCTTGGTGTGAGCAGCGGAGACATGTTTGGCATTCTGTTGGAAGAGATCCTTGCCGGAACTGGACCGCTTGTGAGCTGTGAATATTGATGTGATAGCTCGATCGGCACAGTGCTAGTGACCAGAAAGTTTAAAGTCTTAGCACCAGGTGCAGCAATCGGCCTTGACAACAGCTAAGGAACAGCAGTGGAGCCATCTCAGTCGCTACCTCATCAGGACGCTTCCGAAGGAACACCCATTCACATGGGGTACCCATCCAAGCGATTGTTGCAGTTCATGAGCCCTCGGAGGGGGACTCTCGCAGTGCCTCGGCCACCGTCGATTCGCATTGACTGGAGACTTGAAACACATCTCAGGGCACCGGTGAAAGGTAAACGCACATGAACAAAGGGATCCATGTGAGTTTGCCGAGCCACTTCTTGGTGTCAAGGCTTACATCACGATCTCACAAGGAGGAAGGCCCACATCAACCCAAATACGGTCATGTCGATCAGTGCTGATGGAAAGCTATTGCAAAGCGAGCGTCGATCGCACCAGTGGGAGCCAGCGACTGAGCGTCCTGGCTGAAGGTTGTTTCTTGCAGACAGGACGGGCGGACATCTACTGTTCAAGCGAGCAAGTTGTGAACCCTTCTCCACTTGCTCGCGATTCTAGTGGTCCAACGGAGAAACAAGCCCATGGTGCATGGTCGGGAAAGAGATTGTAGAACATGTTGGGACCAGATTTCAGAGGGAATATTGGAGAGTGTGGAGGAAATTCCGAAGGAACTTCAACCACTGCCCGGCAAGATGCCTTGCATCTGTCTTTAAATCAAAAAAGCTACTGTACCATTGTGTGAGTGTGAGTGTGAGTGTGGGTGTTTGTTTTCTATTGTTTGGTATGTTCATGTACGTTCTGGAAAGTTTGTGGGGACGCACATAGGCCACAATGGAGAAAGGGTTAGGAAGTAGGACAGTAGGATGCAGTAGGTAGGGTATATGCCACAGCGGCAGGAAGCTACTACGTGCACGGATGCAGAACGGCTCAGGTTCTTCACGTGGTGCAAGCGGTCCCTAGAGTTTAAATGACGGAAACCTATGTTCTGAAATCTTCAGAACCTTTCCCCTTTCTTTGTTTGCTTGGGCTTTCGTTGAGAGAATCTCTTGCATCGAGTTTGCATGCTGTTCAGGTGGAATGTGCCTTTGTCGTTGGACGCTCTTCGTCATGGATTTGCAGCTCGATCTTCGGCATTGGTGCCCCAAGTGCTTTTGCTTGCGGATGAGGGTAGGCAAATGCTCGTAGCTTATGACCAGAGGCAGCCGATCAATTCGGGTGTCGTTAGCTGCTCTTTGGTGTGATTGATGGCGGTAGACCCCATCTTTTGCCTGGTTTTTTTCAATGTCGATACTGGGGGGAGCTGAGCCATAAATCCAGCATCAACTTTCTAAGCAGCACTTCCGGACTTATTCATCAAAAGCGCTCAAGAAAGACCTCCAGCTCATCCGTTGAGCTAATTCATGAGTCAAATCCTAATTAATCTGCGCAGATCCACGCTTTGCCGACTCAATTCATGCAGAAAAACATCATCATCGCTTTTGGGGCAGCTTGCTTTGTTGCTGAACGGAATGAGCTGTTTTTCTAAACGAACCATTTAATCACATCCATTGCTACTGCTACTGTCCACGGAATACATTAAAGAGTGCTGCAGCCAACCACAAAAATGTCGATTTACGGCAAGCCTTCTCTCGCTCCAGGACGGCTCCAAGAAGTTGCTCTCACTGGACCTCCGCGAGAACCCTGTGGCTGATGTCAGCCTATTAGCCGCTCCACTTGAAAGAAGAAAGGACAAGACAAGAGCCCTCCACAGAGCACTAACACAGAGGCAGCCACTTGCAACACGCACGACCTGGAACTGTGTTGGGAGCATGCAGACGAAGTAGACGAAGTAGACGAAGTAGACTGGTCGAGCAACGAATGGTCGACCAAGGCCGACCTCCGAGACCCGAGCACCATCGAAAAGGTTTTATTCAAAAAGTCGCTCGGCCCACAACCGACCCGTCTTGGGTTTTGGGCTTGGCTGGGTTGGCTCATTGTTCTAAGCCTGTTCGATGTGTTTTGAATGCCTTCCTTTCTGTGAATTTCTGTCCAGATGTTTTCTTGTCCTCTTGTCGCCCAAACCTTCCACTAAACCGGGCCGACGCGGTCCGCAAGCCTTTGTTCCAAGGTATGCGGTGGAAATCATGGTCATCGCGGTGAAGCCTCCATTGGTCGGACCTTCTTACCAGTCCTTCATGGAGGCGACGAGACGAGACTGTTGGACTTGGACGTGTTGGACGCTGGTCTTGGAGAGATTTTCCATGCCAGCACACGGGGTGTATATATATATTATATACTGTAAATGTTTTGAACATTATGTTATATTTGTAGCCACTTCTTCCAGGAACAGTGGCGTTTTCACGTTCTAAAAGACAACTCCCGGGCAAGTGCACGGTGCCACTCTGACCTCATAGGGCTTGGTGCCTGCCATGACTGGGGTACCCTGAAAGCCTCTTGAGTGAGGGGCGGCTCACTGGATTTACTTGAGCAGTTTGCCAGAGGTTTTCCTGAGAGCATACATTCCGTGCAATCGAGATGCCAGGTGAATCTAGCAGGGCTTTGCGATTTGGTCAACATGGCCGAAGCCCATAAAGTTGGCAGTTTGGTGTATGCTGCCTGGCAGCTTCATGGGCAGGAAACACACCGTGAAATACCTTTAGCTGGACCCTGTACACATCTGTACACTATAGATAGCACTGTGGTGCATATATGGTTTCCACCCTTTCAAGTCCAGTGTTATTGTTGTTTTCCTTTGTTGGTGAAGGCAAAGTACGAGTGGGCGTTATGTGGTGAATGAATATGTTGGGAAGCTGCAAGCTCCTGATGCTTTCCTTAAAGTATCTTAAAGCTTGCGAAAAGTCCTCATTCATACGAGAAGAAATGGAGTTGTCAGCAACAGCTTTATGTTCGGAAGTGGTCTCCAACTTTCTATTTGGCAAGTCCGTGCAAACAAGCAGTAACAACGATAAAGCAGACTGCCAAGTTTTTTGGCACCTCTCCTTGTTGAAGCCATGAACAACCCTGACCTGGAAACAACGTTCCAGAATGCTTTCGAAACAAACAATCCTTTCACGTATGCTGAGAAGAATTCAGGCAAGGTGCAAAAAGTCAGAGTCCAGGAGACCCTGAAATAAACACACTACTCCTTCCGCCTGCCGGGAAGGCTCAAAGAAGAATTGGTGCGAATAAGGCAAATTGCTCATTTGAAGCGAGAGAAATGTGAAAAAAAAATCAACTTTAAGACGCCTCGCAACCATCGTGACACTTGCAGCCATTGCAACCAAGGTTTCATCTTTCGCTGCTTGCAACCATTGGCTGCCTCACCGAAATTTGGACCGGCACTCAGTTCACTGCCCGTTGGACAAACGGGAGACATGTGGAGCACTGGCGATTCTCAGGCCGAACAGGACCCAGCAGCAAGTCCACCGCTCACATCACTTCGGTCACCCTACGACCTCTCAAAGGCGATGGCTGAGCAGTGCCTTTCCAGCACAGACGCAAAATGATGCAAAGAGGTTTTTTTTTGATTTTTTGCTACTAGTACAAAGGGCATCGCTACTAGGAACAAGAAGCCAGAAGCTACTAATATTATATATATATAGTAACAAGGGATGTGGAATTGAGATGATGAAATGAGCATAATGAGCGCACCGCACAAAACCGTGGGGAGGCATTTGAGTGCAGTCGAAATCCGCGAGAGAGAGAGAGAGAGAAAAAATAAAGGCATAAGCAAGTTCACGTTGTTTTGCTGGTGCATCTTTTGTGAACAAGTGTATTTTGTGGATGTTTGTGGGCGGCATTGCTTCTTACCAGGTATATTTTGCAAAAGCACTCGAAGATCATGCGCACTGTCAGTGTGCGGATCGGTGGCGCTGGGCTCTTGGACAAGCATCCTGTTGTTTGTGCTCAGGGGTGCAGTATGACTTGGGGTGTGCTTGGAGTATAGTAGGCTTTGTATGGTAATTAAGGTTGTTTGACGCGAATCTGGGGTCTGTATGGCTCTGTGTTTTTTTTTTAGTGAGGTCTACGGAGACAATGATGACCAGTACTGGAATCGTCGTTTACCCTTTCGCCTCAGTCTCGACATCAGCGGCTGGGCTTTATGACATTATGAGATGTTCCTTTCGTTGACACTGCTTGGCTGCCGGGAGCTTTTGTTGCAATCATCCACAAGGAGCCACCAAATGCGGGGTAGCACTTTGTCAAGTTGGAGCATTTGCGGGTTTCAGACCCGGAGCCCAACCGGAAAGTGGTTAGTTCTTTGAGTCGAACCACTTTTCCAGCACACTCCACTCTTGTTTTTGGTTTCTGTTTTGAATGCTGTGCAAATCCAGCTAGTCCAGGTGACAAAGATGCAAATCCTCCCAAAATCGATGCAAACTATGTGGAAAATGTGGCCGAAGGTGCAGGGTTTGAGAGCGCTGCAACAAAAAGTGTTAATTGCAAGACAGGCATTCTTCGGACACTTGGTGTCATCGTGGACAATCACTGAAGCAGAAACCATAGTTGAACATATATTCAATCATTTAAGGTAGGCAGGGTCGGTGATGATGAATTATTTGGGAAGCTTCGAATCAACGTCTCCCAATGTTTGAATGCTCAAGCCAAACTGGGGAGACGCCCCTTGAGGAGCAGTGTCGCTGCTGGTACCCCGTTCCCGCCGACCAAGTAGCTCCGTTGCAAATGGGTGTACCTGACCACACCAAAACAGAGGGCGTAGGCACAAAACACCATGGGCCAGTGAGGATTGTCAACGGTGGATTCCAAGGTGCCCAACAGGTGGATGACCATAGATGGCTCCAAAGTCGCCGCCTGCGCCTGCCCCTGACCGAGGCGAGATCCCAAACCAGCCCGAGGTTTCACCACTTCGGAGAGGTCAAATGGCAACTTGAGGTTGCGGACGATCCATCCTAGAGCGGTATATGCCCTGGTAGGGGACTTGTGCTCCCGAATGAAGGTGGCCAGGAGGTGTTTGTCTGGGATACCGCCACCTGCGGCGGCAATGACCCCTTGAAGCTCTTGCCACGTGTGCAATGCTCGCTTCACGGTGGCGGCCTCCGCCTTCTGGAGCACATGTGTGAGCTTGGCCTCGAAGTTGGCGGTGATCTCAGCCAAGCGTGCCGCCGGCGGGGGCTCAACTGCCAGAAGAATGGCCATCAACTGAGGCAGAAAGCTCAAGGCACCGCCATCCGGGCCGCCCGACTGACGGCCCTGGGCGCTGGGCCTGACTGGCCCCGCAAACGATGGGGTAGGTCGTGGCCTCAAAGGTGGCGATGTGGTAGGCCGCGGCGCTGATTGCGAAACTTGTTCACGACGAACGATGTCTCGCACCAGGGCTCCAGCGCCCAGCTCCGCTTCACGGCGCGCCTGGTCCCAGGCCTCTGCCACTGCGCGGCCCTGCTTCAGCGCTTCCTCGTAGGTAACGAAGTAAAACGCTAAGTCGGAGGGCCTTTCGATACCATGGGCAGCGCACCACCGCTCCAGCTTCTGCTGTTCAGAAGAGCGGCGGATCTGATCGTCGGCGCTTGCCATGGCGTCAGAACCGGGAGGAAAAAGTTTAGCTTGAGGGCATCCTTGTGTTCTGGTGCACGAAAGGTAAGACTGGCAGTCGTGGTGGCTTCGCCTGGAGCGTTCCGAGGTATTGTGGCACGTTGGACCTCCTACAAGTGCTAGGTGCCCATTTGAACAAAGTGCGCCCCAGAACAGGCGCTGGCTTCAAGCGCTGGCATTGGTTGGGGTTCGACTCGGCTACAGCCCAGCCGGTGGGCACAGCACAATGTGTCCGGATCCTGCAGCCCTACCTGAGTGCAGCCATGGACGTTACCAGCCTCTCGTCCTACTCGTTTCGCCGCGTGCTTCCGACTTTGGCAGGGTATGTGGGGCTCTCCGAGACAGAGCGTCTTGCTCTTGGACAATGGGTGGATCAGTCCTCCAAGTCTACGGCTACCACCCCTCTGCGATATGACTCGCGGAAACAACGCCTCGGACACCAGTTGCGCCTGGCTGGCTTGCACTTCTTCCAGGACCTCAACATGGCGTTGTGGGACGAACTGCCGACCGGCTATGCCTCGGCCCGATGGTCCACTTGCATGGAAGAGGCTGACGAGCTCCTCGCTTCGGACCCTCAGATCCGCCGAGTTTCTACGGACTCCATCCCTGGCATGCCCGTGGTCAAGACCTTGCTGCCGGCCCAGGTCCAGATCATCCGCGCTACTGGTCAACGACTCACTGCTGCGCTCCGGCGGAAGCGCCCGGCCCCAGCCGTGGCTGCCGGCCCGGTGCCTGAGCCCACCCAGGGGCCGAGGAACACGGTGTCCACATTTTCGTTCACCAGTCCCTCGCGGCCGGCGAAGCGGGCACGGGTGGAGTCGCCACCCAGGGCTGCTGCTGGCGGTAGTGCCCAACCGGTGACGCCGCCCAAAGCACCTCCGCCGAAGGTGCCACCTATGCTGCCTGTGGTCTCGCCCTCATCAGCTTCGG